TTTGTTAAATATATGGAAGCATTAAATATATGAAGCCATTGTATAGGCAACTGTACATATAAAACAAATATTATTTAAACTGATGCAAAAGTGGTTTGTTATAATCAATTTTGTTTCATGCATTTATAATATATGTCTTTGAAATCCACAAACAAGCAAAAAAAAAAGTTTTATTTTGGGAATGCTTTCCCAAAAGTATTGCAATCCTAAATTCTAATCCTATTGGTGTCACTGATTTCTTTGATCTACTCAGGCGTACAACGATTTTAGGAAACGCGTGCCAGTTTGTTTGGGTTTTATTTAAGTGAAATGTAGGACTGAGCTCTTAATAACAGGGTTAATGACACTACTAAATAAATAACACCTTTGGATGCACTAGCAAAATGGTTTCCACTTTACTATTCAGCTCATTAAGCAGAAGAGCCTCAACCAGTAATTAACAGCCTAATGCTCAGTATCAGTTTCCCCTTTGAAACAATAAACTTACAACCTTTTCTAACCCCTAAAAGACCTCATTCAAAACGCAGAGACATCTGACAGTCTCTCAGTTTTCACTTCATTGTGTTCTAACACTGACAGCGGCCCCATGACAATATAGTGCATCTTTTAATAATTTATTCTTTGCATACAATGTGCTGTATGTTCAAAGATCCCGTCGACATTATGTTTGACTCGTGCTGTGCAACTGCAACAGCAACACTGTTCACAAACCTCTTTTGATTGAGCCTCAGTATCAGAGATTAATTCATTGACATTCAAAATGCATTTCAGTGTTTCATATTAAAGATTTAGCTCTTATTTGAGAAAGCTCAGCATCAGTGTAACCCGCAAATTAGAACCCAAAAGAAATGGTTATGTTATTGCTCGTGAGAGTTCTCAGTTTAGTCAGCAACTTAATAAGATTCCTCTGAAGAAATTAAAACAGAAACAAGACTTTTGACATGCAGATAATAGCCTAGATGGTAAGAATTACATGAATAAAAAGTTCATATTCCAATCTCTGATGTTTGGTATATGAGTGAAATACGTTTAACAATTTTTTATGTCAACATTTACTAAATGCAATAGTATCTAATTTTGCTTTTTTAAAGACTGGTCAAAAATCAAGATATTTGCAATATTTGTTCATCAGAAGCATTTGCATATCTAAAATTAACATTAATTTTTTTTTGCAGTCAACTTAATAAAGTAAATATTTTTCAGATAATATTTTAACAGTTCATTTATAAAATCATCGCAGTGCAAAAGCCAATTATTTAATTTTGGAAACAATTATTTGATTTTGTTGTCTTTATGTTGCATTTAATATTTTCCACACACAGTACAGACCTAAATAGATTTTTTTTTATATATATATATGTGAAAACATACAGCTGCTTTTATATTTTAACAAGAGGGTCCTTCACAAGGAAATTATCATATTTGGAGGTCCTTATAGTATCAAAAATGTCAAAACTCCTGATCTAGGAGAAACAATATAAGCCTATAACAAAGAGATTTCATTCATTTTCCCCCTCTTGTGGTTATATCCTTCCTTGCTGACTATACTAGATCTAGGTCATTGTCTTGTGTTTGTAAAGCATGTGGTCTAATTAATTTGCCATGCAAAGCAATATGACTCATTGTATTTTAATGAAAGCCACGTTTGAAGGGATCATGTTTAGCAGTATGGAGTCACGTGACGGAATATGGGCGTTCAGTGCTGTGGCAAAACGTTAGGAGAGAAAACATTTTACAAACAAGCTTTAATCCACTATTAAGTTTTATTTCCATTGCGTGATTTCTATTCGCCTGTTAAATGAGTACATTGATATTATAACCATTCGTTATAGAGCGGAAAGAGACGCGAATAACATGAAAGCTAAGTAATTTTTTTTTAGGAAAGCGGGTGGGAGTTTTTCCCGTCTTACCTGCTGAAGCGCTGGATTCAGAGATGCACGGCACCCGTTCCTCTGAATGGACGTGGAGATTTGCGAGAATCTTTCTGAGTTTTGTTGCCAATTTTTGTGGGTGTTGGCCTGTATGGACAGAATCGTGTTACAGTTCCTCATATACGGCCCCTCCTCTTTATATTACGTTGAGTATGAGAGTTTGAACAGTTCATAACAGTTTGCTGATTTTTCACCCACACATTTACCCACATTCATGTACTTACTGAAGCTTTTTAACTCTGTCACGTCTCAGCTGTGCTTATAGTCAATTTCAAAAGTTTGTTTAATTACTTTTTTCTCTAAACTCTATTGTCGCGTGGGGTTTCCAAGTATTTTTGACGTAAAATATAGAGGGTGCAAAATTTCTATCACTGATAAAGACAAGTAGAACGCTGCCAGCTATCTTCCATCTGGCAACAAAAAACGTAGGCTAATTTTGTAACTATGTACCTGTTCTATAAAGCTGACAAGTGACAATGTTAACCCATATTTGCATAGGGAGTTACTGCACCCCCTCTTGGTTGACAAAATTAAAAGCACCCCTCCTTCACATAAACTTCTATCATAGTTTCTTCGTCTTTAATCATAATCATGCTGTGCATTGTGAATCAATCAGTCAAAGAAGAGTTTTAAAGGGGTCATATGATGCGATTTCAAGTTTTCCTTTCTCTTTGGAGTGTTACAAGCTGATTGTGCATAGATAAGATCCCTGAAGTTGCAAAGACTAAAGTCTCAAAACCAAAGAGATATTCTTTATCAAAGTTAAGACTCTGCCACGCCCCCCCTAAAACGGCTCATTCTAACACGCCCCCACATATCTACCTCACTATGTGGAAATATTAGCATAATGCCGCCCAAATGTGCACGCAAAGAAAGAAGGCGTGGTTTCAGTAACCGCAGTTAGTGTTGAAGCAGCCATGTCAGGGAAACGCTGTGTGTTTCAGTGCGAAAGCAAAAGCATTTTATTTGGCCTTCCGAAAGTAGATGCATTTAGGAATCTTTAAGATGACTTACAACAGAACAGCAATGCATTTTATGGACGACCGTTTCGTGAACCTAGGAGAGGAGGTAATTCTGACTTTGCTATGACAATCTGGCGCTTCTGAATCAGCTACTGTTTTATTATTAGTTTAAGTATTTGCTATTGATGTTCAAATGCGGAGTTTTGCACATCGTGTGTGTGAGAGAGAGAGAGAGAGAGAGAGAGAGGGAGAGAGGGTCACATCACAGTGTAGCTTCATCACTGTGTCTGTCACACGACTTTCGGACTCTGTCTTTACATTTATTTTGAAAG